CCCCGAGGGGGAGCTCGCAAACCGAGGTAAATTTTTGCGGCCGGAGCTGGTCGTAACCCGAAAAGTTCGTTAACGGAGGCATTCGTAACCCGAGGTACCACTGTAAGTCACTTTTTTTCAGCGCCATCATAACTTTGAACAGTGGTTAAACAAATGGTCGTAAGTCAAGGACTATCTGTAAGGAAATCTGTCAAGGTCTATCCTTCCAACCCAGTTCTAAGCCAACTTCTAGGAAGGTTGTTGATTTTTTTCAACAAGCCAAGAAAAATAAGAACAGATCAGTGAGCAACTACAATCCATTTTTTGAACAAGAAGAGAAAAGAAGTTGCTGCACAGTTTGACCCTTTGATCCTTGCTCAGTCATGAAATGCTCTGTGATTTTGGGGTATTAACATCTCTTAGTTTTAGCTGCCTCCAAAGTTGTTGTAAGGATACAATCGGGAGGAGGAGAAATAATGTATTATCATTATCATATTGATATTTCATGTTTTGTATACATTTAAACTGCAATGGATCTTCTTGCATTTTCCTTTTAACGAATCTAACTCTGGGGATGTACAGGTCGGGGGCATGTTAATTTGCTCAGAGCAAAAGAAATAGGTAATATTTTTGATCAATACTGATCCACAAACCATTGATATTTACTTCCTATATTGTTGGATAAATTTTTTAGGAGCTCTCTGTCTTCTACAAAAATTCAGACTGAATTCTTGAAGCCACTTGACTGGCTTCAGGAAAATCAGTTTGCTGCTGTTTAACCACCTAGATCTCAACAAGACTAAAATTGAAAATATCACACCTCAGGTTGAGAACTTTAGCAGTGCTTGCTAAAATCCAATGAGGGGTGTCAAAATACAGAAAATGCTGCTTCTTGGACACAAAATGTTTTTTCTAAGAAGGAAAAAAGGCACTTGGTACAAGCACAGAGGTAGTGTCAGTTGCAGGCGTTGGGGAGTACCAGACAAGATGCTACTACCTCATATAATCTCTGTCTGTTCTCTTGGATTCTTTATCTAGGTTAATTTGCATAGCTATCTAAAGGAGGTAGGGGAAGAGATTTGTTTTCCTATCACTATTATTCAGGCAGAAGAGATAGATGGAAAAGCAAGGACAGCCGAGATGAGATTAACAAGGCCAGGGACTGGCAATGGAGGCCCCAGTGCCAAGGCTTGTTGTTTAGCAGATCCTCAGGCCCTTAAAATTCACCTACTCAGATGCACTGCTCTCCTCAACACATGCTTAAGCACTAAGCGCTGTTATTGAATGTTATTTTTGGGACAGAGACAAGGCTTTAATAAAGTTCTGCATGCACAGACCCCCCCCCCCGCAAAAATGGTAGACAGTTGGGGGAAGGGAAAAATAATACCTTCATTAATAATTCAGCTGGTAATCTAGCCTGGTCATGGATAGACTGGGACAAATGTGGTTGAAATCCAGACTTGTAAAATCCAGAGTTCCCTGTTCCACTTAACCAAGGTGGACGAGCTTTGAATAATTCTTCTGAAAAATAAATCCCATTCAACTATATTGTATGTTAGCTTCAAAAGGTGATCATTTATGCTCTATAGTATAACTTGGCTTTTTCATTGCCAAGTTATACTATTAATCTAAAAGTACCTTTTCATTTACAGCCAGTTCTAGATTTTAATAAGCTGTGCAAGATTCCTAAACAGAAGAGAATCTATGTATGAATCAATGGACCACCCACAAGTAGCACATTTTGCTCTTTATAGACATGCGATGTACTAACATGCAACTTGCTTTACTAAAAAAAGGCAATCCTTTCATCATATTTAACTGTCATAGCAGAAGATTGGCATGAGTTGTTCAATTCTCTCTCCCTGTTCTTTTTATCCCAATGCTTGTGATGGGAACATGCCATGGGGGTGCAAATAAAGGCTTTGGCCCACAGATTCCTGTCCCTGGTTGGGTGAAAAAAGAGACCGCAGGCTAGGTGCCAAGGCTGCAGCTAAAGGGGGAACTGCTGGCATCCAAAGGAAACTGGCCCAGGTGGAGAAGAGAATTTGTAGGAGCAACAAGGGACAGGGAGGAGAAAGGATGACTCATTCTATAAACTGCATTCCACTCCTGCAATTATTTGATATGAAGTATAGGAATAATTCATTAGAGTATCTTACATGCAATCGTACACGGAAAATAATTACATTAATTTAAGCAGGTATCCATGTTCTTCAAAGAGCGGAGAGTGCCATCATATTCCTACCACTTTGCTGCATTTGCGAAAAGAGGTTAAACACAGCCAAACCTTCTCAATTTTTCTGTAAAATGTAATTGTATAAAAAGCTATTTATTTCAGTATATTTATTTTAGATTTTAGTCACTGGGGCTTAACTTTCTATGCACTTTTACACATATCAGACATTCTTGGGAAACCAATGAAGCTAATTTCCAGCTATTACAGCCAAAAATATGGGATCCTCCCTTACTAATAACTGAACCAAAACTTACTTTTGCGTACTGCCAGTCTCTCTCGAATAAATTTCCGTAGACATTTTGCTTGCCATCTTTCTTCTTGCTCTTCTCTTTTTGTTTTAAGATCGCTGGTGGTGCTGTGGAGGTATGCAGTTTTCTTAGGAGTTGAATAATCCAGGTTGGTTGCACAGGCAATATAGTATCGCTTCCAGGCACCATATTCATTCTTTTCAGGAATATATGGAAGAAACCATCCTAACTTAAGGCATTTTGGCATCCACAGACAGTCCTTTAGTGAAGGAAGTGAAAAAATGCTTTATTTTCAAAGAGAAGTTATTATCAAAGCTTAGCAAATCAAGTAAATAGAGCTTAATTCTTGATGAGATAACATCAGATTTGTAAGAGAAGCAGATCTAAGGGAACAATGTACACAAATACCTGCTTCTCCCTTTTCTTTGATTTTGAAGGTACACGCAACCTGTTTTATTTAAAAGTAATTTAAGGATAATTCCTTGGATTTTAACTCAGGATCCTCATCATTTGGCTTAACTTTAATTGGAAGTGATGACTCTCATATCATAATAGCTAAGTGTATGGAAATAGAAGAGATCTAGAAAACAATAAATAAATACATAAATAAAGTTGATAAATAATAAAATAAATAGAAAATAAGAAACATGGAAGCAAGACTATATTCTAACAGTTATTCCATACATATGATAATTAGTGAATGGATCTGATAGATGTCACCTGAATATAAAAATAATTATTTCTAGTTACTGTACTGGTAGGATCCCACTTTAAATTTGATGGATTTTAATCATTGCCAACAGGATTGTTTTCCTTCCATATGAAATAAGAAATCTTATATATGTTTGCTCCCTACTTGAGGTATGTTGTAATCTGATTTCAAAAGGACCTCTGTAAAAGACATGAGTAACTTCTAAAGCAGTGGTTAGCAAACATTTTGGTCTCAGGACCCCTTTACATTCTTAAAAATGATTGAGGACTCCAATGAGCTTTGGTTTATGTGGGTTGTATCTATCAATATTTATGGCATTAGAAATTAAAACTCAGAAATTTTAAAATATTTATTTATTTGACTTTGTAGATGCCCTGAAAGGGTCTCGGGGACCCCCAGGGATCTCCAGACCATACTTTGAGAACTGCTGGTCTAAAGCTATTATATGTTCTCTTAATGACCTGTAATAGGAACCCCATGTCTTAAACACTTGATAGACATTTTCTGAGGGAAAAGCTGTTGTCAGAGGAAAACCATTTAAAAAGTGGCTAAGCCATAATGTGGTTTGCCAGGTTTGGACTTAGCATGCTATGTGAATACAATCCCTGCACAGACTTAAAAGCTGGGTAGCCAAACAGTGCTTAACCCTATTTCTGCATGACTCTTCTCTGTTCCCAAATGCTCCTGTCTGTTATGTTTTTGTCCCCACCGGAAAGAATTGGGAAAATTATCTGCAATAGCTATCAGGGAAAAAAAATCAACATCTCTTTTTGGCAATATCTGTCCACCTTATATCACCATCCTACACACATACAACACAAGCTGATTTCCTCCTAATAAAGCAATTACCTATCTATTTATAATATGCAATATAGACATTTTACCAGGCTTATGGCAAGCAGCAAATATTGATTATATATGCATGACTGTCTACTTGGAAAGGAACACACACAAAAAATATTACAGCATTCTGCATTTCATAATTTTTCCCCAGTATATTCAGTCTTACTTCCACCCTATTCTCTCCAGTCACCTCTGAGTTATCCATGTATCTAACTTCCCAAGGATTTCTTTTCAGGAGGTGATGGTACTTATGAAATTCAAATAAAAGATTAAATGTAAATATATTTCTAGGAGCTGTTGTGGAATTTGTTGAATGTAAATCAAACTAATTGCAATAGTGTGCATATCAGATATTAAGTTTATGAGACAGGATTTAACATCCTGATACTGCATCTGAAACTCATTTTTGACCTAGCATGGTTTCTCAACTTAGATCTTCAGATTGTTTTTGATTTATGTATGTATGTATGTATGTATGTATGTATGTATGTATGTAGTAATTTGCAAGATACCTACTTGTCAAATTCTAGGTGGCTTACAGTATTAAGTTCTCATATCTCTGATAATTGGACATGCTTGTTGTTGGGAACTGCAGTCCAACATCATCTAAAGATTCAAGGTTGGAAAAGAAATGGCTGTAATTAAGGAAGATATATCCTTGAAGTAACAGAAATGGGAATCTTCACTAGGGAATGTTGGAAACATTCATGCCATTTTAAATCAATAAGCATAAGAACATTTAACTGGGTGTTTAATTGGGATGACTACAAAGTGGATCTGTACAACTCATTTATCAATTTTGAACATGGTAGGACTTATTCAAAGATGTGAAGGAGGGATATGGGAACTTATGGTCTTTGAAAGTTGTTGAACTGCAGCTATCAGGATCTCACCATGGGTCGCATAGTTTGGAACAGCTGGGAGTTGAAATTCACCTGGAGGACCATGGTTCTACAACTCTAGCATGTAGGATCTTTCCATTCATATAGTTCTAGCATATAGGATCTTTCCATTGATGGAATGGCTTTAAATCAGCAAAGGCTATTACAGATCCAGGAGAAAGAAGATTATTTTTGTAAGTTCTCTCTCTCACTCACAGCTCATTACATCATTCCTTGGAAGAGATTTGGGGTAAACGATTTAGAGGAGTCAGCAGGGACCCAGAATTGGTGAGAATCATCTTGCCTCTTTCTGTTGACAATAAGGTTGTCATAAGAGGTAATGAATAAGAGGTAATGTTCCTTGTAGAAATATAAGATTTCTGATTTTTAGAGCCAAACTATGAACCACAGCTACTTATGTCCCTCAAGGTACAGGACAGGAGCAACATCATAGGGTACTGCCCATGGTGGAAAGGAGTGGCATGTTCATCAGTTTCCGCTCCCTATGTAGTTCCTCCCCTGACAACTTCTCTGATGCTGCTCTAGAAGATACCTCAGTTTCCAGAATGGATCTGGGAGTGGATCAAAGATGGATCAGAGTCGATCAAGGGTGTAGCAGACCAAATTGATTTTTAAAAAAAGTCATTGTTTTGTCAGTGGGATTCTTTCATTGCATCAACATTTTTTGTGAAAGACTGAATTTAACATAAATCCTGTATCCCTGTGAAGAGCCAGAGACTTTATAGACAAAGAATACAAATATATGCCAGGAGGAGGGGGCTACATAATGTCAAAAAGCAAACCACACAACTTGTTACTGTCCCACCTCCACCCATACAGGGTAGAATTTTACATAGGAGTAATGCGTGCTAAATAGGGGTATATTTTGAAAGTATACCCATTTTCTGTCCTTGTATTGAAAAATTAGCATTGGCTCATCTGAGAACAAAGGCACACTCTGATACTACCTGTTCAGTTAAAAATTTCCAGTGCCAGTTGATTTGGGCTGCAGCACCAAGATCCTTTGGACTGAGAAACGAGAATATATACAAAGAAATGAAACGTGGCAGCAGAGTGGTGAAATCTACATTGGCCAGTGGGATATTTTCTACAAACCATTTTTCAGCACACCTATGCAACAAGGAAGGAAAACAAAACAAAACAAAATGAAGCAAATTATCAGATCTAGGGAAATGCCTACATTTATTGCCAGAAGAGGACTGTGACAAATGTGAATTGTGGCTTGTGTTAAATACAAAACCACATCATGTTTTGAGGTTCTAAACCAGTGTTGTCCAAACTTGGCCACTTTAAGATGAGTGGACTTC